TAGCAGCCGTATTCGTGAACAGAAGGAGTTCTCTTTGAGATGTTACATCTGAGGCCACAAAAAACAAGCCCACTGAACCAACTAACCAGTAGATTACTTAATGACAATGTCTGCTACGGCTTCTTGTTTATTCTATAGAGCTCTAGTTCGAAGTGGCTCAAAAGTCCGGCAGGTGACAAAATTGACCTGTTTGGTATACAATTCAGCCAATTTTCGTTCGCAGTCGAAAGCAGACTGTTGCAGAGCCGCAGCACGACTACATCGCGACAGAACCGCCGCCGTACTGTATATATCAATGGCTGCATCGGCTAGCCGTACCAATTCCCACTGCCTTTCTGGAAGAAATACTTATAAGGAGCACTGCTTGTTTGACGTTTTCAAAGCCTATGTGGGAGCTGCTGTTCCTGGTTTTAATCATTTATCCTATACGGAAGGACAACTTAGTATTTCACAATAGGAAAACAACGACAAGTATCAGAAACATAACTGAATGAACTATTAAAAAAGTGCGCACAATAATGGAATGAAATTTAAAAAAAAAAATAAACCTATGAACTAAAAGTAATTCCTTTCCGAACTTCAAACACAGAAATAAACACAGTAAGCTGGAACCAGGATGCAACACCAACAAAAATTGTAACTCATGCACTTGTATTAAGAAAAGCAAATAACACTCATTAGTGACTGAAGAAGATGTAAAAATCGATTAGTTAATTAAAATTTAGGGCAGATACATACCCGTAAAGGTAGACTAACTTTACAAACAAGAGGAAGAAGTGAAAATAAGAGACGAAAATCAAGCCAATCCAGGCAGTCAGTGCGGAGACCCCACGTTAGAGATGTTGCAAAATAAGAAATATAACTTAGGTAGCGACTCGCTAGACTGGTCGGTGCCACTATTGGTTTTTGTGCGAATCTTAAAGTAAGACTGTTAACAATAAATGGTTATTGCTTTACAGTTTAATGTGTGCATTCATAGTACCAATATTTTTGCCTTTTCCTGTATGTAGAGAAGGGAAGTGAAATCGACTGAGACTGTTTTATTGCATCATAGGGCCGCGTAAAATCTTATCCTCCAGCATTCTAATAAATTTTGCATGAGGAAAAATGAGTAATTTTTCAGTGGTTCATTGTAAGTGCAGATCTGACAATGAACAACATGCTGAGGGGGGAAAGATAATGAAATCTGAAGTAGAAAGTTTTCTACCGGAAATTTAACGTGACCGTACATACACAGGAACTGAATTTAAAGTTTTGAGGAATCTTTGGACATAGATACAGAATTTCTTTCCAAAACTTGAGCTTTTTAGTCCTTCTGGTTCCCGAGTTAGTAATTTCCCGCCAAAACTTTCACGTGTCCATACATTAGACTCAGACGTGCATAAACATTAATATCGTTTTTCTGGGGTTACACTTGACCAAGAAACCCTCTGTCAAAGAAATTTCAACATTTAGCTTACCTGGCCGCCAAATTGAAGTACTCGGACAAACACACACGCACACACAAGCATACGAGACCATTGGTATTTTACAAATGGGCAAAAATGC